GCTACTCTTCCATTCAGTGTGTGAAGTTTAACATTTTAAAAGCTGTTATGCTGTTATGAAGATGCAGAGTTTTAGTGCCCATGCATGCTACTGATGCAAATCCATCCCATATCCCAGTCTTAATGAAGAGTTTCAAATTCATGATGATATTCCCAGAATGAGGAACACAATTCCAAACAATGAAGTGGTTAGGGAAAGGGTTAAGAGAATGAGATGTGAAGCTTTATCTACCCTGCCAGATCTTATTTATGTTAAAGAGCATCACATGATGCTCAAAACCATCAAATACTGCCAGTAGATTTAGCTACATTAGCACAGTAAGACTAAAATTTTATAGCTAAAAGAAGATGACCCACCAGAGCAATCACCACTGTCTTGGTGAAACATCTTATCTAAAAACCCAACTGTGAGAATATTTTTTGGCATAAAATAGGCAATAATAGGTTAAGAATTTTGGTTGTGGTCCCTGAAAAACTGTATTTTGTTTTATGTGTACCTCAGCTTCTAGCTAGAGGGAGGTGTGTGATAAGCAGTGAAATTTCTTGCAAATCTTAGGCTGCCCAGCATGTGTCCTACATCCAGTATAGAATATTTGACTTCATTTTCCTTAGACTGACACTGTAATAATACCTTGTGGAGATGCAAAAGCATGGGACAGTCCCAACACTTGGTCATACGTGAAGCATTACACAACAACCAAACACTTGGGACTAATGTTCACACAAGATTTTGGATCATTTTTTACTCTCTAGTTCTTTTTCTGTCTCTTACATACTATGGTTGTCAGTCTGCCTAGCATTTATTCTACTTTTCAGCTTCATTTGTCCCAGAATTTCTCAGGAACTTTATTTTTTTTCTGGCACACATGAATACCATAATGACATCATTTGCTCTGTGTATGAATCCAAGCTGTCAGAATGGGTTCAAGATACGTCCATTGGTCCTAATAAGAAATGCAATCATTCAACACATAGTCCAATGCTGACACTGGAGAAGAAAAAAACATCCTGTTTTATTTCATTCAGTCCTCCTTTAGCTTCAGGACAGCTGCCAGGCTCTCATGTAATCATTTTTCTGCTTTTCATTCCAGGTATTTTAGGATGCAAGAGGAACAAGAACATTGGAATTGCATATTTACTGCTATGGTATCTTATTTCAACAGATTGTGAATTACTTTGGAGGTACCCCCAGTTTCATGAATCAGTTTGCTTCTCTGTCAATTTATATAGACAGCTTGTCAACAGATGTTGAATTAGTGCAGAACTCTGCACTATCAAGAGTGTTGTTGGGAGAAAGGGAATTTTGTTTGTCTAACATTCAAGGGATGTGTAATGACCAAAGAGCAATACGTAGAATTTACTTCTGTAGCATTTAGCAGTCATGCAAAAGACAGCAAAATTGGTCTAAAAGAGGTTTTTACAAGTTTTTTTCCCCAGTCTTTGTAATATCTAAGAGCAGTCAGTTGTAGCTGAGAAATCTAGACGCCACAGTAAGGATGGAGAAGATCAGCAGTATCCCTTAGTGAAAACTGGAAGACAAGAACATACCCTTCAAGATCTTTATGGATCCTTTTAAAGCATTTAAATCAGTTAAGGACTTTCTCAACTCATTTTGTGTGGTCATTGTGATACCAATAACTGAAAGACCAAAGAAACTGTCTCCCAGTTTAGCACTCTGGTACAGTAGCTATTCTATTCCAGGAGAAACCATAATCAAGCATTATTTGGTGGAACAAAGATGAATATTTCCTCTTCTCTAGATCAACACAAACTAGAAATTACAATGGCTTTTACAAACATATTTCAAAAGGCCTGGAAGAACACACTTCTTTTTTTTTTTTTTAAGAGGAACTTCCTCTACAAGCCACATTTCAACAGAAACCCTCCTGACACTAATTAAGGACCTCATTTATCCATTTGGTCTGTGATTCTGTGGAGGGCATTCACATCTAAATTTTGTAGTGAGATGAGACCATTTTGGGGAAAGTGTGACCTCCTGATTTTTAGATGGGCTATCCAGGAGGACAGCAGAGGACAACTTACACAGGATCACAGGAAACCTGTATCCCACCTCCAGCACATGACTGGGTCAGCCATGGGGTCAGGCCAGGTAGCTCAGGGGGCTATCCAGTGTTGTATTAAAAAGGTTCTATGCATGGAGCCTGGAAAACTGAATATACCTCCTCTAAGATATAAATGCATCATATAACAGCATGAATAATCACATAAACCCTGCTCACCCAGAGCTAGGGCAGAGGGAATAAGAGAAGGGGAACTAATCTCAACCTTTCCATTTACACCTGTTAATGGAATTCCTCACCAGTCACTCAAATACTGAATTAATTCACTTTTTTTTCAGAAATAAATTTTTCAGGACATCCTAAGGCATTTTGCAGCCCTGCAGCACTTGACAGAGTAGCATCTGCTATTTGAAGAACATTTAGAATTGGAGTAAGATAATGCACCGACCTTCAGACAAAAAAATAAAAAAATGCTGTTACTGTTTAGTTTTGGCTGTCTTCTGAGAACAAGAGCCCATTAGGATAAAATAGCTTCACAGTCAACTCACTGAAGTGTTTAAGTCAAGTTTTTGGAGACTGCTTAAAAACAAAACTTTGTAATAGCTGAAGAACCACAGACACTTTGAATTGCCTAATATTTTTGAATGAGAACACAGCTTGCTTAGAAAGGCTTTGATAATTACCTCAGCATACCAGTTACTGAGAAAATGAATTTTATACCAAGTTGCTAGCAGTTTTTTAAAGAACAAAGCAAATGCCCCATAGCAATGCTTGGTAGAGGCAAATTTTAGCCTCCTAACTGAGGAAAGGGGAATGTTTTAGGTGGTGTATTTCTAGCTAATTAGATGAAAATGAAAAAAGCTCAAGGAAATAAAATGAAACTACTTGCTGAATGGTTTTTACCCTGGAGCAAAAGACACCTTCATAATTATAAAATGTTTTTAATCACCAAAGGCTTGTTTAATGGGCTTTATATTTATATATAACACACTGAAAGTATACCAGTGTGGTCTGTCCTAAAAGTCAGTGCAGCAAATGATAACAGCACTTGGAATGAATTTGGCTAATCAATAAAGGCCTCTGAAGGTCTAATCCTTCCCCTTTGGAAAAAAATCATGCCAAATAGGCAGAGTTCTGTCACTGCTGCTACTTGAGCCAGGGTTTTTATATTAAATTTTTTCTTTAAATGTAAGAATCTCAAATTCTGATTCAAATGTGTGTATCTATGCAGATGGCTGCACTAGATTTGCAAAAAAATTTGAAAAATAACAAATGGAAACCTAGGCTGGGTGGAGAGTTCAGTAAGTGAGGGGAATTTCTTACCAGCTTACAGGAATACGGTTTCTGCCCCATGGTTTGAGCACCCACAAATTCAGGGGCCATACACAGTGCACAGTCTATGGAGAAACAGCCCTGAGAGTGGGTTACTGTGACCTACCTACCGACCCTCCACACCAAACTTTCCTCCATGGCTATTCCTGAAAATCTACACAGGAAATGTGTGTAAAGAGACTAAATTGGTCTTACTGCAGAGGAAAGGTGGTTTTATTTCAGCAAATTGACCTCTAATTTTTGTCAGGTTGCAGCTTTGATTCACAGCCCGTTACCTTTCCTCTCTAAGAGCACTGACCGCTCCTGCGAGCAGGCATCACCACCTGGCTGTTGTCTCACTGCTTTCAGAGGATGATGCTGCTTCTTTAACTCTTGAGCTACTCATCTACAGAATTCATGGGAAACATGCAGAAACCTGCCAAGAAGAGAGTTGGTGATGTAGGCGCTGGCTCCACACCAGCCCTGCTGACACAGACAGACTGCCGCCACCCTTCTGTAATTTGTTTCTTTTTTGCTACATGTCAGGCTTCAGAAGGTGCTGATTACAATTACGTAGTTGATGAGTTTCCCAATCCAGTGTCTAATTTCACCTGCACGTTGAATTTTTAATCTTTAATCTGGTAAAGATAGTTCTATCAATAGCTGGACTGCATCCTCTGCACCAGAAGAATCTGTGTGGAACAAGTATTATAAAACTAAGTGCACTAGGCTGGAGTTCTTTGTGGTTTGGGGCTTTTTTGTTTGGATGGGTTTTTTACAAAATTGTAAAACAAGACTTGGCTTTACCCCAAAGTAATTAATTTATTCCGTTAACTGCAGAAAAATAAAAATGAAGACATCTGATCTATTCAGTGTTATATATAAGTTTAATTAGTTGATGGATGAAGCCTGAGTAGATCAATCTGAAGAAATATGTTTGCTGCATGTACTTACTGAGTGAAATTAAATCTACAACACCCAGAAGGGTAATCTGTATATCCTTACTAGAAGCTTCAGTGACCTTCATTACAATCTTTGAATGTATTACATCAGGAACCTAAAATTCAGTTGGCATGTTGTTTTTCTCTAAAATCTCACTGGCCATCAGGGACTAATACATCTGTAACTTAAATATGAAGCTACTTTTTTTTTTTTATTAAGGCATATGGTTAACATAGGATCACATCCCTGCCAGGTTGTCTAAAAAGGGAAATACGCTCAACTCCCCTGAAATAGCAAAAAAACCTGACATATTCTATTTCACACTCTCCTTCTTCCCCTTTTATTTCTACTAGGCCAGACAAGCTACAGGTGTGAGGGATTGTCTTTACTCACTAGAACTTTAAAATGGATCCATGGTTGGCTTTAACAGAAAAACCTTCTCTCCCTAGGCTTTCTCCGAGCTGCTAGCTCCTATAATGAACTGTGACTAGGGAGACCCTTAAGTGAGATAAACCAGAGAAAATTTATAGCACCACGGTGAGATTATATGCATTCACACAACCCAAACTAAGCAGGAGCAGGACAGTTTAGCAGCTGGACTGAAAATCCAAGGGAACACTCCTGCACACAGGTCTCGGCTGCCTACGGCTGTTACAGATCCTGGAGCACTTTTCAACCAACATCTAAGCTTTGGACAGGGTAATTACACTCTGCCTAGCTAACTCACCTGGAAATCTGAGAGCACCCAGCTCGCTACCCTCTGCTCGGAAACACTTGATTTTAGCTGCTGGGCGCTGTTCAGCTTCCTGCCGAGGCCGTGCTGCGCTGCCTGGGGAAGAGATCCCTGGGTGCTGTCTCCGCAGAGTGCGAGGTGATTTGAGACCTGTTGGAGTACAAGATGTTCCAAAAACATGAATGGTTACATTAGCGTTACTCCAGGAGGGCTCTCAATGCCACAAGAGAGCAATGGGAGTGAATCAGGGAGCCCTTCAGAGGGATCTGTCTGCTGGGGCAGCTCTAGGAATGCCCGAAGGGGGGAGAGACAGCAGTCATTTGAGCACAGCTCTGCAAAGTCACAACTCCTCTCTGCTCACCCCACCTCAGCGAGGGCCAGAGCTGTTTCTTCGGGGACTTCCCTGAAGAAATGTAAGCAAAGCGATATTCCCGTTAAAGAGAAATAATGCCATTTATCTACATGGTTGGTCTGTTGTCACTATAAGCAGATAAGACATGAAGCTCCTATAAGCACTAATTAAACATTTTTTCTCCGTCATCCTCTTTCCCATTGACGACAATAAAGTTTCTACGCTACCTGTTTTAGTAGCTAATTAAAGCTACGAGTTGCCTGTACCTGGCAGCTTAGACATATTTATTCGCTAGCACAGGGAGAGCTACCCCGGATATGCAACAGCAAACAAAACCTTTTAGCAAAGCTCTTCATCTCCGGGCGGCGGGGAGGGAGCGCGGTGTCACGGGCGGTGCGGGCGCACACGGGGGTGCCCGGGGGCACTCACCTGCCCCTCGGGGAGNCGGCGCGTCCCAAGTTGGGGAGATGGCAGAGCCCCCGCTGCGGCACCGCGCTCCGCAACTTTTCTGCGTGCTCCCTACACACACACACACACTACACATACATACACATAGAGCCCACTCCTTCGTCACGCACCGGGAATCGGGAATTCGTGGCACGTCTCCAAAATAATAAAAAATGGGCTGGTATTTCGCCTGTGCGTTTTCTGGCAGTGGAGTGAATGACTGGGGCGGACTGCGAGTCTTGTTGGCATGCTGATAGCACCTCGGTTCACTGCAGTCCGTAAACAAGACCCTGTCATTTAAACAGTTCAAAAGAGGGGAGATCTGACTTTGAGAGAGTCCTTTTGTTAATGTTCCTTATCCTGGGACTGGGAAGAAATCCCACCTGTAATCCTGTTAGAAGACTGAGAGCCATCAAGTTGCTGTCTTGTGAGCAGTGTTTTTGTTTAACTTCCCAAAATCCAGGCGGCTTCCATGGGACTGCCCGCTGACTGCCAGGAGTGCTTCAGACAGGTAAGAGCTAAGCATGCCAAACTTGCCTTCTTCTGCTGAGGTCCCTCAGTCCTGGCTGGGAAATGTTACTACGAATAATAATGATTTTTCCTTTTTTGAAGCGAGATGTCCAGCAGCAGTAGGATGAAACCTTTGAAACTGAATATCCTGGTGAACTGGTGAAGTTCCAGACCTGATGCTTTCAGAGTCTTCTCTGTCGTCTGTAAGTAACCAAAACTTTCCATGATGCTGATGTGTCAGCCTGCATACGCATGAGTAGGACAACTTGGAATTTATCTGTTCTTAACAAAGGCATAACTTCTGTTTGTTTAAAACTGCAGCTTTAAATTAATCTATCAGTGTCAGAGGCAAGTTGCTATGTGCATTAAATTGATATGGTCTGAAGTTTAGTAGGATTTATGGTTGAGGAGCAGGACCAGGTAAGTGGTGTGTGTGTTCTCAGAAGCAATGAGAAGCAATTGCTTACACCCATTGTTTCATAAAACAGATTTTTTTTTCCTTTGGAAATATATCAAAAGGATAATGAGGAACTAGTGATGTTAATAGATTAAAATGGTGAAATCAAATGCAAACCATATTTTCTTTGCCTTGTTGTTAATTTTTTATAGTATGTTGTATGCTCTAAAGTGCATTTAAAACAAAATGTAACTCCTATAACAACATTGTGGTCTGCTACGTAACAAGGGAGAGTGAAGTTGAAAAATGTTAAATATGTATAAGTTGACTGGGTGGGAAGTTACTTTGGTGATGTTGATGTTTGGAATTTCCTGACTGCTTTAAAATTTCAAATTTTTAGGGCCTATTTTTTTTAAAGGGGCTTTATTGTTTCATAATTGGTGCTGGGTGAGTGAAGAATGCTCACTTTAATAAAAACAGGTCTCTCCTTTAAGAGAAAATCCCTATATATATTTAATAAAAAAGTATTTCATTATTTGTGTCTTGTGGAACTCTAAGAGAATTCTCTTAACTTGATTTGCAGTGTTGGTAGGTAGTAATCTTCTGTTATTGCCAGTAATAAAAGTTGTGCAGGCCAGATGGTGTCTTCAATTATACTTTCACACAGCCTTCTTATAAGCAGCTCTTCAGGTGAAGAAGTTGCTGAGGTGTCAGCAGGACTGATGTAACATTAGGCCTGTATGTTGTCTGTATACCCCTAGTAAATTCCTGTGGACAGGAAAAACTCCATTATGGAAATTTTGGTTTGGGTTTGTTGGGGGTTTTTTTTGGTTGGTTTTTTTTTTTTTTTATTTTTTTGGAGGGAGTGTTTGGTGAGGCATTGGTTGGTTGGTAGGTTGGCTGGTTCCATTTTTTTAATTTTTACAAACTTTCTCAGCACCACTGTTTGACTATCTTGATCTGCTCACTTAATTCAAATTCCTGTTAGGCCTTTGATTTCACCCAGCCGTATCACTCAGCATAACTTGCTGGAGGTAGAAAATGGCAAATACTGTATGCTTATTTCTAGCAGCCTTTGTAATAACCCAGAAAGTAAAGTAGTACTGCCTGCTATGAGGAACTGTGCAAGCATTGTTAAGAGCTGGAGCCCTGCCTTGCACTAGTCGTTGTGAAGCCAGAAAGTTGAGATGTGGACAGTGGAAAGGTGATCCTGGAGGATCATCTGCGTGTGAAGTAGGACATGAGCTAACAGATGAGAAGTGAGGGAGGAGGGGGAGCGCTGAAGTGAGAAGATATCTTTGCCTCCTTCTACTGACTGAGCTGAAAGTAGCCTCGGCCAGTGTCCAGCAGAACATTCCTCTCTGCAAAATTTTCTTGCCGTGATAACTCCAGTGGAGATATCAAAAAACATAGTGCTTCTTGAGGGAAGGAAGGAAGAAAATGAAAAAAAACAAACAACAAACCCAAAACTGTGCAGTTTTAGTAGCTTTCTGTGCTCTTTTCATTAATTCAGTTGTGTCTAAGGAGATACAACTCCTTAGAGTTGAGAGATGGGTGAGAATTTTTAGCATCTCACAGTAATATGAATGCTTTGACAATTTTTAGCATCTCACAGTAATATGAATGCTTTGACCATTATAAAGAGTGTCTGGGTTTTTTCATCTGTATTCTGCTGGTTAACCCTGCATCTTGTTATTCTTTATTTCCAGATGAAGGGGGAAAAAGCTGGAATTAAAAGGAAAGGTTTCTAAATAGTTGGAAGCAGCCTAATATTTTGCTATTGTATGTCCTTGATTTTGGAGCTAGGTGATGGTGAGGGTTAGGGTGGCAAGGAAATCTAAAGTTAGCCAAACATACTGACCAGATGCCATTGGTTTTGTGTAGTCTAGAATAGGAAGGAGCCAGGTACAAGTACCTGAGTGCTGAGGTACCTCTCTTCAGCTGCAGGTGTATTTGATTGCAAGGAAGAAAAAGTTGGATGATGTGCTAAAAGAAGGAATCATGCCAAAAGCAGGAGGTACACTCTTCCCCATTTTTGGGTGGCCATGTTATTTCAATTGCTTATGTTGGCCCTGTACAGGAATGTACCTATTTGAACACAAAACACAGTGAGGAAAATGCAAGGCTTTTATATCAGTAGAATGAGGATTCTTGAAACTCTTAATATTTGACAAATGTTCAACAATTTGGACTCAGAAGTGAATTACTGTAGATCATTAAAATTTCTAAATTTTTGCTGTGTTTGTTATCTAAGGTGCACAGCGCTATTGTCTTCCAGATTTACTGCTTCTCCATGGTGGATAAAGATACGTAGTAATCTCTCTCCACTACTCAAAAGAACTTGGAATTTTGGGGTGTGTAGCTTGAGTTTGAACAGGTGGGACATTGGGATCCGTACATCCCAGAGAGATGGGGGTGAGGTTGGGCAAAAGCAAGGATCTAGTTCAGCGTAGGTGGAAGGCACAGAGCAGTTTCTCAGGCTACATTAGTTCCCTCACAGTGAGAACCAACCAGCAGGATGGTCACGACATCACCCAGGGGAGGCAAAATATCACCCAGAATTGGAGGCAAAAGAAAGATTCACAGCTGAAGCAGGGATGCTGAATTGCTGTCTGGATACGGCTGATCTCTTTTGAAAATGCTTGAGTTGAAAGTAACTGCTTCTTGGCTTTTCACAACCACGAGAAAGCATTTATCTTGATTAAAGAATATTTGCAGGTATTTCCTCTTGCCCAGGATGCCTGAGAGTGTAATCCATGACTGTTGCTTTTTAATACAAAAGGAGGAAATTTGTCAGTGTTGTGCAGCCATTTTTCAAGTTCTGCTAGAAGACAGAGACTTTTTTAAATGTCACTATAATTTTTTCATATGTGAAAATCAAATCACTGTGTTAAATAAATTAAACTACTCATTCAAGCTGAAAAGCCTTTAAAATCTTATAAGGTAGCAGAATAGTTTGGTTTGATGTATTTAGATTCCAACCTGAGCTAAAATCAGTAGTCTTTACTTAAAGTAGTGTTACTCTTGTTTAAAACTAGTCTTAAAACTTAGCCAACACAGAATTTAAGAAAACAGTTTCATATAAATTAAATTTAAATAAATTAAACTAATTGCAAGCACCGTGTAAACTCTTGATAAAAGATAATTATAACAACTGTGATGGTGGAGTGAATCTGCCTTAGGGTGTTTTTGGTAGTTCAAAACAAAACAAAACAAAAAAAAACCAAAAAAAAAAAAAAAACAAAAAAAAAAACCCACCTTGAGCTGCTGTTTCCTTTCCACTCAAAACCAAAACTAGCCTAGTAGAAAAACATCTGTTGTCTTATTAGCAGATTAAATTGCTTAAAAGTGCTTCTTATTTTACTGTGCATTTTCATCATCATGTTTCAGGGCTGGTAGATGGAGCTGCATGCAACCATGCTGGTGTTTGGGCAAGGTCAGCTCTATATCCCATGCTGTCCTGAGTCATGGATGTATGTGATACCAGCTACTGCTAATGGAAAAATCATTGGCACCGTCCCCTGGGTAAATTCTTTGTGGGTTGTAATTTGGTTAAACTTGGTCAGGAAGCCCTCATGGTGGTGGAAAGAGCTGGGCAGACAGGGAGGATGAGAGCAAGTGGCTGGAGAGAGTGGTGTGAGATACTTTGCTTTCAGCATCATCCATGTGGCCTGCAAAAGCTTTCCCTGCCCCTTCAAGGATAGTGTTTTTCAGAAAGAAGGGCTGAATATATGGGAGCTTTGTGTAGTCAGAGATGGAAGAAAGTAACAACATCACAAAAGTGGCCTATTTGGAAGCATGTACTGTCATTGTGTGTATCTGGATTTCTCACCTTTTCATTATGCGAGAAACCTGTGAATCCCAAACAGCAAGAAACTGATTCCTACTTTCTAGTACCTCTAATATAAGTAATTTCAAAGATATATTCAGACCCCCATATCTTATTTATTTCCTGCTTTTTTTTTTTTTTTTTTTTTTTCCTCCTAATCCAGATGCTGTCAATGTTCTGTTACATGAACAACACAGCTTTTGTTTGCAGGAAAACAGAAGAGGTTTGT